TTAGATTACTATGCGAACTACTAAGGGATTTTAATTGGTCCAAAATTGGACACATTGAAAAGGTTGATGATTCTGTCAAATATTTTTACCAGGTTTTTTATGAAATGCTTGACATATGTGTACCAAAGTTTACTAATAGGCCACATGCATATTGCAAACAGTTTCCGCCATGGTTCACGGATGAAATAAAAATCGACATAAAGTACAAAGAATTTTTCAGAAAAAGAAAACATCTATCGGAATATTATTTTAGTAGATATAAAAAAATTAGGGCGGACCTAAAATTGAAAATAAGGACGGCGCACAATAATTATATCCAAAATATGCAGAACTGTGTTAACCAGGACCCCATGCTTTTTTGGAAGTTCATTAAAGATAAGAGGTCTAATAGTATATCTGAATCAAATTTTATTATAAATAATAGGGAAATATCTGACAAAAAAATTATAGCAGGGGAGTTCGCTGATTATTTCAGTTCAGTGTATGACAACGATTCAAACTATAACCTTATAGATATTAATGGTTTGACTAACAATTGGAACGTAAATTTTTTATCAGAATATTGACTTCGATCTAATATCCGTCAAAGACTTAGAAGCGGCATTTCGAAAGTTAAAACCGAAAAAGACAGCGGGTCCTGATAATATTCCTTGTTATATCCTAAAAGCTTGTAAAGATTATTTAATATACCCTTTGCTGGTAATTTTTAATAAGTCGCTTAAAACATCCATATTTCCTAGTGAATTTAAAAGAACGAGATTAACACCAATTTTTAAAAAAGGGGATAAAAATAAAATAGATAATTATCGCCCCATAGCCATATTCAATTGTACGGCGAAACTGTTTGAATTTGTAATATATGATAAACTGTATGCTTACTTTCAAAAATACATATCAACCGAACAACACGGATTTTGTCGTAAAAAATCTGTAGATACAAATTTATTAACTTTCAGTGATAAAATATCAAAATGTGTCAATTCTCGTGAGCAAGTAGATTGTATTTATACTGATTTTAAGAAAGCCTTCGATAAGATAAATCACAATATTCTTCTAGCTAAACTGAAATATTATGGTCTTAGCGATCATCTAATAAATTTCTTTATGTCTTATCAATACGTAATGTTTGGTGGTGAAGTATCTCATACAATCCTCGCAGGCTCTGGGGTCCCTCAGGGCTCCAATTTGGGTCCTCTACTTTTCTTAATATTTGTTAATGACCTTCCTCTACGTATTACATCAGACTGCCTAATGTATGCAGATGATCTGAAAGTTTTTAAGAAAATATCCAACCTAGATGACTATCTAGACCTTCAAAATTTCGGATTGGTCATTTGAAAATAAATTACATTTTAATCTTTCCAAATGCAAGGTTATTACATTCAGTAACATTCGTAATCCTCAAAATTTTATCTACACAATGCAAGGATCAACACTAGAAAGAGTGTCAAAAATGACCGACTTGGGAATAGTTTTTCAAAATAATTTCAAATTTGACGAGCATATCCATAACATTACCAAAGAAGCTAACAAATTGTTAGGTTTTTTGAAACGCACGACTAGGGACTTTACAGACACACACTCGATTAAAAATGTATTTTTTGCTCTCGTTCGTAGTAAATTAGAATATGCATCCACTGTATGGGACCCTACACAACAAAATTTAAAACACATTTTGGAAACTATTCAAAATAAATTTGTCAAATATTTATACTTTAAAAAGTATCATACAAGTCCAGGATTTGTTTCATTTGGACCTATTAGAAAAGAGTTTGAAATTGAAAAATTGGAACATAGACGCTCTATAATCAACCTTGTCTTTTTACATAAATTATTAAATGGATATTTGGACAGTCAATATTTATTGAGTCAAATAAAAATTAATGTTCCAATAGCAGGTATTCGTCCACGTCAATTAACTTTTCGTGCGGATAATCATGGTCCAGTAGAAAAAATTTGTCTTTTGTTTAATGTACACTCCGAAGGCATTTCTTGCGGTATTTTTGATAAGCACATATAGAAAGGAACTTAACAAAATTGTTGGGCTCGATTAAAGAGATATAACCTTGTAGGATTTCCGTGGCCTTGGTGTGGGGTTTTGCAGACGCTCTGATTATTCCTGAATATTTCTGAATATTTCTGATTATTTCAGTAGTTTTGTTCTTTAACGAACTTTGTTAAAATTTTGTAGTAGCTAGGTTTGTTTATTATAATTTCACTTATATATTTAATTAGATATTATGTATTTTTGTTGATTTCTATTTTCGCTGTATTTATAGGAACATGTAATTAGGCTCATGCCTGTTTGTTTCTGGAATAAATAAATAAATAAATAAATAATCATGCTGGTTCTTTTGTTTTTGTTCTATATGAACAGTTTTCTTTTTATGTGGTGCTTTTAATTCCCTATTCTTTTTCTCTCTCGTAGCCTGATTTTTCTCAGCCTGGTCTAAGAATAAATCACAGTATGATCCAGTTTTTGTTTTGGTTTTATGTTCCCAGGTGTCCTTTTGTCAAGTTGGTCCTTTGTTGTATCTTAATGCTGCTACATATGCTCTGGTTTCGAAGGATGCTTTAATTTTTTTGTACAGTAAGTATGATACGCAAGTCTGCTCTGTTAAAAGGGTTCGAAATTGCCGAACTCCCTTAACAGAGAATTTGCTGAAAGACCTCAAGGGTACGGGATAAATAAAAAAGATTTGATTGACAGAGTGTGAATTTGTCTTTATTTTTCTTATTGTTAACCTCCAATTCAAATTGACTTGTCAAAGTTTGGAAGATACGAATATAAAATGGTTTATAATATAATATCTAAAATGTTACTGTATACAGGAAAAAAAGATGTTAGAGGTAGTACCTTAAAATATTTCCTAATAATAAACACCCTTTAGGCGAATGGTTACTCCGGTTACGGCAAGTACTTGTCGCTTACAAAATCCGGCAAGCCCCAGGTATAAAAATGTATTTTATATAAATATATAATGAAATAAATCCCGTAAAACCCTTAAAAACTACTTATAACTAATTACTACACTCTATGTAAAATATTTACACCCGCTACATTCGTAGGGAATGCCTCCAGACCGGTTGAGGTTAGGTCGGAACGCTAAATGGGGCTCAAATCACAAAACTAATAAACAGAGACCGTCTTACTTGAGAATCTGGGGTTTTGGTGTTGAAATAATCACACTGGGTGTCCAGATATCCTGCAACAGGTTATGACGGTAGGTTGGCAGCAAACGGTAGCCTAACAAGAACTACTCTTGTCTTGGGCGACTTCTTTGCTAGCGGCGAAACGGCAACAGCTGATGGCCTGCTTATTTAATGTCTCAAAAGCCGGGAAACTTGCACGCAGATAGTATCACTTATTGAAGGTCTTCGAGAATAAAACGAAGCTAAGAAGGAACGAACGAACAAAGGAAGGAAGGTCTGAAAAACATTGACGAGTGTAACTGTATGTACACAGAAGGCTGTAGAAAATATATAGGTCAGTGAAGAGACATAATTAATTTAAAAAAACTCACCCTTGGATGTTGTGTGACCTCTTAAGTTTTCACATATTATGAACGATGTACATTTTCAGCCGAATAATAAATCCACCACTTGGTGTTTAAATCACAACGATTAATTAAATAATTACCTGACTGAATAAAATGTTATTTTTTTAGCTGGAATGAATCATAGAAAAACCTAGACAATATTTTAGCACATGCTACAATCAATTCCAAGCAAAAACTGGGCCAGGAAGGAAGTTCTACAAAATGGCAACAAAAGTCAATGTCTTATAAAGGCCCTGACTACCAAAGGTTCATATGATATTTTACTGGTAAGACTGTGGTCACTATTTACAAATTTAGAAGAATTTGACAATTGAAGGGGGTCTAATTAGATATGAAAACAATAACAAATCAAATTTAAAGTTGTTTAATATTTAAAAGATCTGTAGTCATTACTCGAAGTAGCAAAATATATTTACTTGACTATAAATTATTATTTATTGAATGCACTAAATACTATTGATAATAACCCAAATGAGATTATATTTTAATGCAAAATACTGTGTAATGAAAAACTGTGTTCATGTTTTATATTAGTTTTGTACATCCTGTATGGTTTATTTACCGTCACTAAAATTCTGTTCAATAAAGCCTCATTTCAGAAGGTATTTTCATTACATACTGTTTGATAAAAATGGATATTTTATGAATTTATACTCTGGATTTATATACCCGTACAATCTTAAATCTATAAATATACTTTGATGTGAATAGATTCGCATAGGTTATACTAGCATAGCTATGAAATAGGCTATAGTAGTAACTAGGGTAGATTAGGGCAAGTCAAAATAATAATAATAAAGGTCTTTATTTTCCTTTCAAGTTACATAACTATTTACAAATATTATGAAAAAAAAAAGCAATCGTAACAAAGCAAGAAAGGAAAAATGCCGAAGATCAGGTGACGATAATTTCAATGAAATCATCGCCTCTGTTTTTCATCTTAAGCAGTAGTAACAATGACTAAAATTAACTTAATTTCTAATTACTAAAAAAAGAAAAAAAAAAAAAAACAAATAAAACAATTTCAATTAGCAATATCAGAAACATTAGAAAATAATATGAAGGAATATTTATTTTTTAGAATATTACCAAATAACGCGATAGACGATTAGTGACTTTTTAAAGATTAAATAGATTAGGGATAAAATAATGTACATAGGGTAGGATAGAATTTAGAGTAGGGTAGGATGGTGTATATAGTTAAGAGTAGAATAATTTAGGGTAGTGTAGTAATAGAATAGATTATTAGACTAGTTTAGGATAGGATAGAGTAGTACAAGGTAGGGTGGTTTAGTCTAGTTTAGAGTAGCATAGTGAAAAATAGGGCAGTTTAGTCTAGTTTAGTTTAGAGCAGCTTAGAATAAGGCTAGTAAATAGAATAAGTTAGAATAGTGTAAATTAGGGTATTTTAGACTAGAATAGATTAATGTAGAATAAAACCCGTAACAAGTAGCTTTCGTCCTTCTATTTGGATTTTTGTATCCTGTTTTAATTTTTACAATGCTTTGCCATAATTTTTTAGTAAATAATTTTTGCACTTGTTTTTTTCAACCTGTACACCATAATCAACTTTATGTCTGATGTTAGTGTAAACACTATTTCAAATTATGCATTTCCATACTTTGTCTAAACCCCTCAACTATAATATCACTCTCCATAGCAGGTGATAATACATCCCAGTTTTTATAACACACATGTTGCTTAGGCATCTCTTGTCTGTTCGCATATCTGGCACATACACAACAATATTTGTTTCTTACACCAATATACAAAAGTTGTTTAGTGAATTGGCCAATTATAACTCCCTAAAATATAAAACAAATAATTAATTATTACTATAAATGTTATGATAAAAGCAGTTTAAATTACCTAGTAGATAGAAGTAACATTATCTTATATACAAATTTAATTCAGTCAAAGATTATAAAAAATTAAATCTTACTTATATAAAAACAAAAAAATTAAATTACAATACATGTTACTTACCACACCAGAAGCAGCATTATAATTATGGCCATAGGATCTCTTGCTCCATCCACCATCAATATAAACTGTTGTCCAAACATCTCCTTTTTTGTCAATTTGCCCATTTTCTTTGGCCATTAAACTTGCTTTCCAGTATTTATTATTGACGTGTAAAGCTCGTCTTTCCAGGAAGTACTTAAACTTTCTTCAATATCTTTAAATTTTTTGAATGACATTGCTGGTATGTCCATACTAGAGAGCAATTCTACTAAATGTGTAAATGTACTACCTGTCGAGAGTGTGCCCCAAACTGCTCCTGTATTTAATTTGGAAAAATGATTTGTGGATTTTTCAGTCATTTTTTTAGTCATGTTGCATTGGAATATTATGCAACTTACCAATATAAGACAAGAGCGTTTCTCATCAATAACCTTTAGTTGACCTGTGGTACAAATTTTTGAGTGCTGCAATTGCAGATTCATGGATCACTCTAAGACATAGTTAAGATTAACTATTCTATATTTATTAAGATTAGTATTAACTTCCTGACAAACTTCTATCTAAATTTCATGCTCCATTACACTGTAAGAGTAAGACATTTTAAAAGATAACTCAAAAAAATAAATAAAACTGTGATACTTTTATAGTTTAAAAAAATTTGTAATAGAGAAATTAAAATTATATTTACCTTTCATATTCTTTTTGGCTTACAAAAGAATATTCTAAATCAGAATGTTGACCAGAAGCTGTTTTAATGTTATCAGTCAATATTTGTTAACTCAATGGAGAACATTTTTGTTTGGGTAACAATGTCAATGAACTCGAATCATTCCTATAATAAAAATCACTAATTACAATTTATAAACAAAAATAAATAAATAAATAAATAATAATAATAGTAAACGTTCTTTATTGAGATGCTAACCAACAGAACATCGATTGAAGTACTGTACTGTGTACATTTTAAGTTAAAATGATATTTTCGGTAAATATCAAATATCCCAAATTTAGATAAATACTGTTACCATTTATCAACGGAATATGCCTCACTGGAACCTACATTTTTTATGGTTTCCAAAGTATCAGTTGGATTTATATTTTCCTTAGTCTCAGAAAGTATCTTAGGCATATTTCTGAAAAATAGACATTATTTAATAATGCATCTCATATTAAAAATTTTAAAGTTAACTCTTTGATACAATATTTTCATTGCTCTTGCCTTCTTAGTTCTCTTTAGAGGTTTACTGGCTTGTTTAAAATTACCCATGATCAGTATTATACAATGACCAAAATCAATCTAAAATATAAATTTGTGATATTTTACCAGATTTTACAGTTACACCTGATTATAAGATTACACAAAATTATGACATTACACCTGACTAGGACATAATACTTGATTTGAAATTGATATCCCCGACAAGAACACATGATATAGTTAGTAAAGAATTTATTTACTCATATACTTCAATCTGACCACTTTTACTGTTGGAACAGCTGTTGGTAGAAGTCTTATTCTTGGTTTTGGGGTTCGATCAAAACAATCTGCTTTAAAATAGCGTGAACACAAAAAATTAAGATATTTTGGCTCACAATTTGTTTGTTGCATGAACTCAAGCCATAACTTTGTTTTTTGAGAATTTTTAGGAAATCTGAAAATTGTCTACTTGGGATTAATTTATATAATTTGTAAATCTAAAATCTTTAAGAAATCTGAAAATTGTTTACTTGCAATCAATTTATAAATCTAAATTAAACAATAATTTATTCATTTTAACAACCACATAAATATCTTAAAATTGCATAAAAGAATTGTTTAAATAAAAGTATGTATACCCTATAAACCATGAGACTACGCCTATGAGTACAGTTGATCGCAGACGCACTTACCATGTTTGTTTACAAATTTAAAACATTAAAAAATTTTAATGTGGTCGAAAATTGAGAGAACAAAATACTTGCTTATGAAATGTAGATTATTCCTTTCTACTTTTAGCTGTGCTGCTATATCCACAAGACTAACAACTGACCATATTGTCTTGTTTGCCTTTTAACGCGGAAAATTTAAAATTAACAGTAAACTAAATAAATACTGAAACATTAAACACTTTTTAAAAATGTCTACAAAACATACGCTTGATAAAAGTGTAAATTAACACATAAAACATCCAAATTATTAACAAATTTTAATTACTAAAATTATAAACCAATTTTAGAAACCATTTATCATATGATGATGAGTCATCCATAGTACAACATGGCTACCACTTCCGTCAGATCGATTAGATTAACGCGGACATGGCATGCTTCTTCCTGACTATATATGTTTTCTAAGATGTAAATACACCCTTCCCTTCATTCATAAAGATTCGATGCAAGGTTGTCGGTTCTAAGGAAATTGAAGAGTTTTCATATCTCACGACATAAACAGTACTGTCTTTCGTCTCTTTTTATACAAAAAAAATTGAATTAGCTTAAAATATTTTTTATTCCGTTTATTATAAAAAATGTATTATAAATGTAATGAATTTTTAATTTATTGAACGCTAATTTTTTTATTATATTAAACTTGACAACGTTGCCTAGACGATAAAATTCAGATACCAAATGTCTTCACAAATAACGAAAATTACTAAACATCTGCGGAGATGCTTGTTGCCAAATGTTTCAAACAGCAGGTCAGAATATTTTTGTTCTGAAATGAACGAGGTGATGTTGACCTTTTGGTTGGATCGCTGTTGAATATTTTAAACTACTAAAATTACTCAAATGAGTATGCTAGCGTTATCTGTGAGCATATACAAGAACCATGGTGATAAACCCATCCTTAAAAATTCCTAAACTTAAATGGAAACAAACCGTAGTAGAAAAGTGAGTCTCTTAGAGTTTATGCAGTTTTATTGTTTTTTGTTTTTAAACTTACGTGTGACGTCCTATCGCGTTTTTTGTCTTTCCCGATCCGTTAGACCACTAACACTCGCTACGTCGAATGTCGATTTCGAATGCGAACGCACAATTTCTTAAGGTATCGCTGATACTGTCAATATTCCTCATTTCCCGTGTAACGTTTTGTGTTTTCCAAATTCATTAGATCACTAACACTCGCAACGTCAAATGTCGATCTTGAATTGTTCGCGAGCGCGCTCCAATCGCTTCTTAAGACGCAACCGTCGTCTGTATTTTCCAGTTCGGCCGAATTTTCGCAGCGATGATGTTCCGGGCGATAAAGTGTCCAGATGATTGACAGGAACCGGCGGCCGCCTTTATTCCAACACCGGCGCCTCGACTGTATCCGCGGGTCCTGTTTGGCACAGGGCCGCCTGCTTCCATAAGATTCGTTTTATCATCATCACGAATCGGTAGTTAGTTTGCGGTTGGTGCGGCCGTGGATCGCACACTACATCCTTTTCCACCAACACTAAACTATTCATGGCTTTCAGTCCCAAAAACAAAGCTTCTGCGCCGCCTCCCAATGTCGGTGGGCAAGAGTCCATCTTATTTGAGAACTGGAACTGTAATGCGGAACTAATACGTTTGGGTAGGCCGTCATTTCCGGCATCTTACGTATTTTATGGTGCTATTCGAAACGTCGGTTTTTTTCCAAGATCGGAACATAGGGGATTAATAGTTCCGAATTATAAATCAGTAGTATGTAAAGTGCCGCTTCTGTCTCAAGTTCGATCTCCAATCGAGCACCCACAGTTCTAGTATATAAAAGCGCAAATTCTAGTGTCGAAACATTGTGCACGAAGAATCAGAGGATAAATATTCAAAGGAAGAGAGAGATGAGAATATGAACGTGCACAAAAAGGGATTTAAATAATAAATAATAAAACTAAAAAATAAATATTTATTACACACATATAAAAAGTATAGTGACATGTACAGAACAACACTTCTGTACAAATCATATATAATTAAAAAAAGAAGAACTTGACGTATACAGAACAACACTTCTGTATCAATCATATCTAATAAAAATAAAAAAGAAGAATTTGACATGTAACGAACAACACTTCTGTATCAATCATATCTAATAAAAATAAAAAAGAAGAATTTGACATGTAACGAACAACACTTCTGTATCAATCATATAATAACAAAAATAAAAAAGAAGAATTTGAAATGTAACGAACAACACTTCTGTTTAAATCACAATTAAGAAAAAAGAAGAACTTGACATATACAGAACAACACTTCTGCTTCAATCACATTAAAAAACTATACTTTGTTAGCAACACTTTTAAGTTCATCATTTCCAAAAAAATTTTAAATCTTCATACCTATTAGACAAAAATAATACTTTCAATTGTTCTTTATAACTATAAAATTCATTAACAGATATAGATAGTTTTTGAAGTTTATGAAAATTGCTACACAATCTTCCAATAAATCGAAGAGTTCTGGCATACGTATCCGAAATGTTGAAATGTTCCTTCACAAAATCTTTCCATTTTTCATTTAAAGTACCAGACTGTCCTCTTATAAAAAATTCTACGAAAAACAATTGTAAATAAAAACCAAACTTTGCTTCAAGATAAAAAGAATCACGTTTCTGAGTTTTAAGGTTTTGTCTAAAAACGCACAAATAGTTGAACAAACTTTCAAATGTTCTCACAAAATCTTCAGTATACACATCAACGGTGTTAGAATCACATATTTTTGTTTTTAAGTATTCATCAAATTTTTCAATAGTAGGAAACTTCACCTTTTTATTTTTCTTTAGTTGAAATAGGTCTAAAATATCTTGTTTCGGAGTTTTTGGAATAACAATTTCATTATTTATAATCTTATTTTTTACTTCATCATAATTTTCCACGTTAGTTTCTAATAATATTCTTAATATTTCCCTATGATAAGCACATAATTTTTTATGAATATTTTGCTGTCTTCGATTCATTGTTGCAAATAGATAACTAAATATAAAATGCATAACTCGTGCATGTTTTGAGAATTAATTATTATTCTATTAAGAAGTGCGAGTTGTAATATATACTGAGATAACCTTGAATTAATTGATCAGAGATGCATAATAATTAAAATTTAAAATAGCTTTCAATGAATACTCGATTATAGTATGTGGGCAAATGTAATATATATATATATATATATATATATATATATATATATATATATATATATATATATATATATATATATATATATTTTTTGCGAGATGTAGGTTTATAAAACTAATTTTTAAGATCTGCTAAAAAAGCATCATTAACATATTGATACAATTCAACATTGTCTTTATCCAAATATTGTTTATGGGTTTTCATGAACTCTAAAGATAAATTTTGATACTTGCAAATATATTCCCAATCTAAGTTTTCCTTAAATTCATCAATAAAATTT